ATGATCACCAGACCCGAGGGCCTGGGTGAAGACATCAGCAGTGTTGGCCTGAGAGGCCACGTAGGAAAGGCAAAGCTGACCACGCTGCTACAGCTTTCGAGCAAGAAAGTAGCGAAGAGCATTGTGCTTTGTTCGGTGCTCCAATCTCTGCTCGTAACACAAGGCCAGCATGACCTTGTTGTCGACGTATAGAATTGGAGGAGAACGAGGCCGCTCCCCCAAGTCGGTCAGCAGGTAGGTCACCCAGCGTAGCTCCTATGCAGCCATGGCCCCAGCGGAGATCTCGGCCTCACAGCTGGAACCAAGCACAGAAGAAGAAAGAGTGGACCTCCACGAGACAGAGCCAGAGCCAAGACTGAAGGTGTAACCCTGTGGCGAACGCTGAGTCACATGGTCGTCGCCCCAAGAAGCATCGGGGTGTCCTGTGAGTACCACTTAACCCTGTCCTCCAAGCACGAGCCCCATGCCCGATGTACTGCACGAGTAACGCAGTACCCTCTTAGCAGCATCCCACTGCACCTTTCGGTGTTTACCGGGAGTCACGTAGCGAGACAGGAGGCTGGGAGGGTACGCGAGGTCAGGTCATGTGCACGTCATCAGGTACATAAGGCAACCCACAAGCTCTGGATACGTACCACTCGGCTTTACGGACTCGTCCGAAGGTGGAGCTGAGAGCGAGTGGCCAGTAGGCAGAGGAGTGGGCTGTGGCGAGGAGTACTGGAAGCCGACGCGGTGAAGGACCTGGTGCACCATGTGTGAATGAGTCAGGGTGATGATGCGCCGTGCTCTGTCCCGGGTGATCTGCAAGCCAAGATAGCTTCGCAGCTCACCCAGGTCAATGCAGGTGCGTCTCTCCTGCAGCTCCGCCTTCACTAGGGTCAGCGCCTCAGTGTCAGCAGTAGCAAATATCAAGTTGTCGACGTACACGAGAACGTAGAACGGCGGAAGGGTAGTGTCGGTGCGTAGAAACAGCGACGGGTCAGCAGCGGAAGGAGCAAACCCAAGAGCCACAAATGTCGTCCTCAGTGTGTCGTGCCACTCGCGGGGCGCCTGGCGAAGACCGTAGACTGGCCGCCGGAGGCTCCACTGGGTACCCGCAGGAAACGACCAAGTGAAGCCAGGTGGGCGGCGCAGCCAGATCTCCTCGTGAAGGCTGCCATGCAAGAAAGCTGTAGAGAAATCGAGGGAGTGCAGCTCGTAGTCACGCTGTGCTGCAACGTGCAGCAACACTCGAAGAGTAGTCATCTTCGGGGTTGGGGAGAAGGTCTGAAAGTAGTTGACCCCCTGTCGCTGACTGAAGCCTCGAGCAACGTAACGTGCCTTGAAGGCAGGCAGAGAACCCGGCGGCCGCTTCACTCTGAAAATCCACATGCCTTCGACTATGTTCGCCCCCGGAGGAGGAACCTCGTCAACGTAGGTGCCTGTGGACTTCCAGGAACATCTCTGCGTCCATGGCTGTCTGCCACTGAGAGGAGTACTCACCCGCGCTCGCCTTAGCGTAAGAGCGCGGGGTAGGGATGCCAAGTGCATCCGGGTCTCCCTCAGGGCAAAGGAGCATGGATGCGAAATGAGGTAAAGCGGCCGCGAGACATTCAAGCTCAAACTGCCTGTCCTCAAGGACGTCAGTGCCAAGAGCGGGCTCACTCCCGACGGACGGAGGACAGACAGACTCAAACTCGGTAACAAGACTCGCAACGTAGTCGAGACGACTCCTAGGAGCAAAGTCGACGAGCTCAGTGACTAGGGAAAACGCAGCAGTGGACTCAAAGCCAGGGTCAGTGACGATAGTAGCGAGGAGACGAGTGACAGTAGGACTGGCAGCACGAGTAAGGTCGGACTCTGGGTCAGGACGTCACGAAGAGAGGACGCCAGAGGAGACGGCAGGGCAACACGCTGTGGAACAGAGGACGTACGAAGTGCCAGAACGTGAGTGCCTAGGATAGCAGGAGGACGAGGACGAGCGACAAGTCGAGCACTATCAGGTGTGGAAGCACGAGTCTCAGGCTCACGACCCTCGGTCAAGGACTCAGTCACCTCACTCTGAGGAGTAGGAGCGGGCAGCAGGGAGCCAAGCAGTAGCTATGGCTGAGACTAGTCTGTCAGTGGACACAGGAGAGGTGGAGTGAGGCCAGTGGAAGACAGGAAACTAAGAACCTGGCGAAGGGTTGAGTTAGGCGGTGGTAGGGACGACTGCGGCTGCGGGTAGAAAAACGGTCGGCTCGGCGCAGTACCCATACCGTCAGCAGCTCCAGCAGCTCCAGTACCTCCAGCTCCAGCACCTCCAGTAGCACCTTCAGCACCTCAGCACCAGCACCACCACCAGCTCCGGCAGCTCCAGCACCTCTAGTACGAGCACCTCCAGGACTAGCAGCTCCAGCACCTCTAGTGCCTTCAGTACCACCAGCTCCAGCACCTCCAGTACCTCCAGTACCACCAGCTCCAGCACTAGTAGCTCCTGTAGTACCTCCAGCACCAGCCGCTCCAGCGTCGAGGTAACTTCAAGCTCCAGCATCAGAGCGGCCTCGCCGAACGACCCACTCACGAAGCTGCTGGGGTGAGGGTGTCTCGAGTCGACTAGGTGGCTGCTGTTGTCCAACACCAGGATCTGCAGTAGGAGCACCCACAGCCCCTCCACCACTAGGACTCGCAGCACCCCCAGTCTCAGCACCCCAAGAATCCTCACCCCCAGGACCAGCACCCCCAGTCTCAGTACCCCCAGTCTCAGCAACCCCAGGACCAGCACCTCCTGCGTCCTCACCCCCAGTGTCACCACCCCCAGCAGCACCAGTGTCTACAGCTACAGGCTGCAGAGGTGGTGAAGACGGTCGAGGCGGAAAACCAGGAGGGGTCTCCAAGCGTGGAGAGCGACGAGTGGCCGCCGTGTCGTCAACGGCAAGGTCACCCCCCTCAGCCGGGCCAGAGTCAGAAGAGACCTCCCAAGGCTCAACCAAGACACACCTGAGGGAGCAGGACCCTGTGGGGGGAGGGGTTATACCCGGGGGGGAACTGGTGCCAGGAAGAGAGGTGCCAGGGGGACCGGGTGGGACGCGTACGGGTGGAGCCTGTAGAAAAAGAGCGAGTCGTCAAAGGTGACGTCCTGGGAGGAGAGCACGCGACGCTCGCGAGGGTGGTAAAACTGCCACGGTGGGGCGTTGGTGGGGAAGCCCAGGAAGGCGCGGCGGAGAGTGCAAGAAGAGAGCTTGTTCGCGGTGGTATCGCGAACAAGGGAGAGTGCGCCCCAGACCCGAAACGTCGACGTATCGCCAACCTTTCCTGTCCAATGGAGTGAGGGCGAGGTCTCTGGCAAAGAGACACGGGGCCAGAGGTTGAGCTGATGCGCGGCGTATCATACCGCGAATGGCCACAGAAAATGGAGAGCAACCGCATGGATCATGGAGGTACGAGCAACCTCCATGATCAAGCCAATGCGACGCTCAGCAATCCCATTTTGCTGCGGAGAGGCTTGGAGCGTGAACGTCTGGATGATGCCCTCGTCTCCGCAAGGAGGCCGGAAGAGAACTCACCGCCCCTGTTAGAGTGCAGACGCAGGACCGGAAGGTCCCGCCGAAACCGCTCGCGCAGCTGGTGACGAGTAGTGCGGATCCAGGGGATCAAAACACCGCTGACGGCCGCCTTGCTGCGCAAGGGGAAGACCGTGGTGTAGCGCGTGTAGTCGTCAACGACCAGCAGGAAGTAGCGCTCCTGGTCCGTCCCACTGACAGGGGCCGGTCCCCACACGTCCATGTGGAGAGTCTGCAGAGGAGCAGTGGTCGGAGGAAACGAGGAGGAGTGAGGAGCGGCGCGCTGCCGCCCCTCGACGTAGGGGGGCAGGCGAGCGCGGGAGTGGGGGCAGGGACCTGGGAAGGCCAGAGACAAGGAGACGGGAGTGCATGCTGCGGAGACGCGGCAGTGAGGGGTGACCGAGTCGGTGGTGCCAGAGAAGAGTCTGGTGGGAGAGTACCCAACACGAGCACGACGCAGCGAAGTGACCAGACGCAGACACCTGACTCAACGCAGCCACCTGACCTGACGTAGCCACCTGTACAGACGCAGTGGTCAGGGTGTACAGACTAGACCCAGGCTGCCGAGTGAACGTAGCAAGGTGACGTCCAGTCCGGGGGCACTTACAGATCGCCACACGCTGCCCTCCAGGGATAAAGGTATCAACCCAAACATCATGAAGGACTGCGTTGCTCACCAAGTTTGTCGAGAACGAGGGGAGGTGGAGGCCTGAAAGAGATCCGGACGGGACTGCCGGACACGAGAGGATAGTAGTGGCTCGTGCTACGACTGGGCCCCCAGCGGGGTCAGCCAGTGAGACTGGGACAGGTGCTGCGAGCGGTGTGACTGTGGTGCAATCACGAAAGAAGCAACGTGACGCGCCTGAGTCAAATGTGAAAGTGTGCAAGGCCTCAGCTAAGGTGGGACCAGTGGCGGTAGACGCACTAGCACCTAGAGCTGCAGCAAACTCACTAGCACCTAGAGCGGCAGTAGACTCTACATAACCAGGGATGCCTCGCTGAGAAACACAGTCGCGAAGCCGCTGCGTGGAGAAGGTCTTCTGCTGACGCTGCTACCGCCGCTGTCCAGTACCCATAAAACCATAACCTCCACCACCTGGATGGCCACGCTGAACTACCCACTCACGGATTTTCTGTGGCGAGAGAGTGTCCGGGTGCGCGGGCTACCGCTGCTGTCCAGCACCTCCAGCACGATAACCTCCACCACTAGGACGACCTCGCTGAATAACCCACTCGCAAAGCTGCTGCGGTGATAGAGTATTCGGGTGAGGCAGTGGCTGTTGTTGTCCACCCCTAGACGCTGCTACGATCGTGATAGTGGCCATGACAGGCCAAGTGGTCAGGTAAAGGGAGAGTGCTTAACATGCCGCAGATTGAACTCACTCTCCCTGCTCCCGCCGCTTTCCCCCACCTTACCTCTCCCCCCTGTGTCCGATTCTAGGCTTGGACATCTGTGCGGATACAGTGGTGGGGAATAACATGCTGCGCGACATCTCAGGCGGGCAAAGGAAGCGAGTCACCACAGGCGTGTCCCTCGTGGGCCCCAAGCAAGTTCTCCTGATGGACGAGATCAGCACAGGGCTGGACTCCTCCACCACCTTCCTCATCATGCGCTGCCTGCGCCACCTCACGCACCTCCACGCCGCCACCACGCTCGTGGCACTACTCCAGCCCGCCCCCGAGACCTACGAGCTCTTTGACGACGTGCTGCTACTTGCAGAAGGCCACGTGGTGTTCCATGGGCCCAGGGAGCAGGTACTGCCCTTCTTCTCCCGCCTCGGGTTTGAGTGCCCCGCCAGGAAAGGGAGGCGGATTTCCTGTAGGAGGTGACGTCCATGAAGGACCAGGGGCAGTACTGGAGGGGGGGAGCGGCTGGGGCAGATGGTGGGGCGGGTAGGAAAAGCCAGCCGTATCACTATGTGCCGGTGCAGGCATTTGAGGCGGCATTTAAGGAGACGCAGATCGGCAAGGCCATTGCTGCCCGCCTCTCGGTACGTGCCAAGTGCTGCTGATCTGTGCGCAGTGTGTGCACGCACTTCTCCCAAAGCCCAGCGCTTGCCCCTTATCCCCACAGCTTTGCCACTCCTTTCAACTTTCTTTTAATCCCCCTCCTCATTTCTCATCCTTCACCCCTCACACCAACCCCCACCTGGTGCCCTTCCCAAAAGAAAAGAGCCCTCCCAACGCCCCCGCCCACAAGCGCCACGCGCTGCCCACCTCGGAGATGTTCCGCGCAGTCTTCGCCCGGGAGTATCTGCTCATGCAGCGCAACTCCGTCCTCTACGCAGCCCAGACCATTTAGATCATCCTCGTGGCGCTCGTCACCATGACCACCTTTTTCCGCACCACCCTCGACGTCTCCCTGCAAGACGACAACTATTACCTCGGAGCCACGTTCTTCGGTGTGGTCATGATGCTCTTCAATGGGTTCACGGAGCTCCCGCTAGTCAACTTCCGCCTGCCCATCTTCTACCGCCAGAGGGACGCGTTTCTGTACCCCGCGTGGGCGTGGGCGGTGCCCTTAGAGCTACTCTCCAAGCCCTTCTCCGCCTGGGCCTCCATTATTTGGACTGCTTTCACCTACTATGGGATTGGCTTTGCACCGGAACCAGGCAGGTAGACAAATAGAGGGGAAAGGTGAGGGGATGGACTGGGCAGGTGAGCGAAAGAATGAACCGGGCAGGTGAGTGAATGAAGTGCGCCTCCATCATCTGGACCGCCTTCACCTATCATGGCATTGGCTTTGCACCGGATTTGGGAAGGTAAGTGGATGAACCGAGCAGGTGAGTGGATGAACCGAGCAGGTGAGTGGATGAACCGAGCAAGTGAGTGGATGAACCGAGCAGTTGAGTGGATGAACCGAGCAGGTGAGTGGATGAACCGAGCAGGTGGATGGACCGGGCAGGTAAGTGGATGGACCGGGCAGGTGAGTGGATGGACCGGGCAGGTGAGTGGATGGACCGGGCAGATGAGTGGATGGACTGGGCAGGTGAGTGGATGAACCGGGCAGGTGAGTGGATGAACCGGGCAGGTGAGTGGATGAATGGGGCAGTTGAGCGAATGAACCGGGCAGGTAAGTGCAAAAATGGGCGAGCAGTTGTCGGTTGGACCCGCTTCCATTTTTTTTAATGGTCCTTTCCTCGTTCACCCACCTTCATGTTCCTATTCTTCCTCATCCATCAGGCGCCCATTTTCCTCTACCATCATGCACCTCATTCTCCTCATGCTACTTCACTCTTTCCTCCTCCCTCCCTTCTCGTTCTGTCCTCCTCCCCCCACCAGGTTCTTCATGCACATGTCTCTATTTTGCCGCATCCACCAGGTCGCCATATCGTCCTTCCATCTCAGCATGCAACATCCCTTTTTCCTTCTTCTTCCCCTTCCCCCTCCCCACCAACCCCCTGCCCTTCCTTGCAGATTCTTCATGCAGATGCTGCTCTTCTTCCTCATCCACCAGGTCTCCATTTCTCTCTTCCGCCCCATAGGAGCAGTGGGTCCCAACATGGTGGTGTTCACGACCTTTGGCTCATTCGCCGACATCCTCTTTGTCGTCATGGGCGGTTTCGTCATTGCAAAACGTGCAAGACGTGTTTATAACGCGTATGTAGGGAGTGGGAGCATCGGGGCGCAACCTGGTGGTCTCCACCACCTTTAGCTCCTATTCCGGCATTCTCCTTGTCCTGCTTGGTGGGTTTGCCATCGATAAAGGTGGGTGAGGCGCACTTTGAACATACCCTTGTGAGCAGCAGTGGGCCGCAGCATGGTCAAGGTCCGCATGTTGGCTTTGTCACGCTCAGGCCAATACTAGAGTGTGTAAAGAGCTGGGTGACCGGCTTGGTTACCGCATGCTTGGAGAGCTCGGTTGCCCCTTTCCTCCCCTTCCATCACCTCCATTGATGTACGGCCCGCAAGCCCCCTTAATCTCTCCTCGCCCTCTCACTACTCCCCTTCCCTCCTCCTCCCCCCCCCACGGCCCTTTTCCAGCCGACATCAGCAACGTGTGGATCTGGGCGTATTGGATTTCGCCTCTCATATACGCGCAGAACGCCCTCGCTGTTAACGAGTTTCTCGCGCCCCGCAGGAACGTCGTGAGTGCTCCTGGGATTCCTATTCCCTCGGCTACGAGTGCTGGCACGTGGGGTTCCCATCTGTAATAAGTGTTTGTCTCGCTGTTTCCAACTGTTGGCATGCGCACGCGCGTGCGCACACACACACGCGCGCACACACACAAACACACACACACACACACACACACACACACACGTGTGATTGTCTAGCCCAAATGTCCCTTCTTTCTACTGTCATTGCTTGTCATGTGTGTGCCTGCAGTCATGCCATATGTGCGCCAAGCCATGTGTGCGCCTGCAGCCCTGATTGCAATCTGCAGCTCCACGCATTTCCCTCTCGGCCACCATGGTCCAGATGATATGCTAGAGAGCTGCTCATGTTTCCTCATCGCCCTTCCTTGTGTGTACCCTTGTGTGTACCCCCTCTGCAGTCCGCAGGTCCCCTCTTCCCCACCACGGCCACCATGGGGCAGGTGTTTCTGGAGAGCCGCTCGATCCCAATGGATGACAAGTGGGTCGGCATTGGTGTGGCGGCACTCATTGGATACATCCTGCTTTTCAACCTCCTCACTGTTGCCACGCTCGCTTATCTTGATCGTAAGCTTTCAACACCTTCTCTCCTTGTTTCATCTGTCTGGTTCCATCCTACTTTCACAACCTCCTCACCTTGCTCACCCTTGCTTCTCTTAACAATAAGCTGTGAAGCTCCCACTCTTGTGGTGCTGCTGCTATGCCCTCCGTGATTCTCCACCCTGCTCTCTAGCCTGCTCTCTTGCCTGCTCTCTTGCCTGCTCACTTGCCTGCTCACTTGCCTGCTCTCTTGCCTGCTCTCCTGCCTGCTCTCTTGCCTGCTCTCTTGCGTGCTCTCTTGCATGCTCTCTTGCGTGCTCTCTTGCGTGCTCTCGTACCTGCTCTCGTGCCTGCCTCTCTTGCCTGCTCTTGTGCTTGCTCTCTTGCCTTCTCTCTTGCCTGCTCTCTTGCCTGCTCTCTTGCCTGCTCTCTTGCCTTCTCTCTTGCCTGCTCTCTTGCGTGCTCTCTTGCCTGCTCTCTTGCCTTCTCTCTTGCCTGCTCTCTTGCGTGCTCTCTTGCCTGCTCTCTTGCCTGCTCTCTTGCCAGCTCTCTTGCCTGCTCTCTTGCCTGCTCTCTTGCCTGCTCACTTGCCTGCTCTCTAGCCTCTGCTCTCTTACCACTCACCCCAACGCACCGACTCATCCTGAGCCCTTAATCTCTTATGCTGCTCTCTCTCTCTCCCGTGCGCCTCTCCCTGCATGTGTGAGAGTGGGATCTGCCCCAGCCAGTGGTGTCGGAGGAGCAGATAGAGGCGAAGCATGCCACCTCCGTGTTACTGCTTGCTTCTCTCCTGCCCTCTCACCCCTCTCTCTCACTCTCCTAAACCCCCTTTTGACTGTTTGTCAATGCAGCGTGGGACCGCCCCCAACCGGTGGTGTCGGAGGAGCAGATAGAGGCGAAGCACACCACCCACACGGGCGAGGTGGTGGTTGCAGCGGGCGGCAACAGGAAGCGGTCCACTCGGCAGGATGCAGGCAGCGCTTTGGACCGCTACTGCACCAGCCACACAGGGGCCAAAGGTAAGGGGTTGTAGAGATCTAGGTAGAGGTGAATGTGAGTGGTGTTGACTGTCTTAGATCAGCTTCAAAACCGCTCGACGCACCTCTTTGGCCCCCCATTTCCAGACGTGGAGTCCCAGGCCGAGTCCACCGAGGGCAAGCACAGCATGGTGCTGCCATTCGCGCCGCACTCGCTCTCCTTCCACAACGTCAGCAACTTCGTCGGCATGCCCGCCGAGATGCGCGCCGAGGGCGCCGCCCCCCCCTCCCCCCCCCCCCCCCCCCCCCCCCCCCCCTCCGACGCGCGCCTGCAGCTGCTGCGCAAAGTGTCGGGCGCGTTCCGCCCCGGGGTGCTGACAGCGCTGGTGGGCGTGTCGGGCGCAGGTAAGACGACGCTCATGGACGTGCTGGCGGGGAGGAAGACCGGGGGGTACATCGAGGGGGACGTGCGCGTGTCAGGGTTCCCCAAGGTGCACGAGACGTTTGCTCACGTGGCGGGGTACTGCGAGCAGAGCGACATTCACACACCGCAGGTGACGGTGCACGAGAGCCTGCTCTTCTCCGCGTGGCTGCGCCTGCTGGCTGATGTTGACAAGGAAGTCAGAGAGGAGTTTGTGGAGGAGGTGATGGAGCTGGTGGAGCTTGATAGTCTGCGCGACGCCATGGTGGGGTTGCCGGGGGTCAATGGGCTCTCCACGGAGCAGCGCAAGCACCTCACCATCGCCGTCGAGCTCGTTGCTGGGGCTGAGAACAGAAGACGAGCGTGTAGACCGCCAAGAAACAGAGCCAGAGCCAAGGCTGAACGTGTAACCCTGTGACGACCGCTGCGTAGCCAGGTCGTCAACCCAAGAAGCGTCTGAGTGCCCAGTGAGAACAAATGAACTCCGCCCTCCAAGCACGAGCCCCATGCCCGATGTACTGCAAAAGTAGCGCAGTACCCTCTTCGCAGCATCGAAGTGCACCTTTCGGTGCCTACCAGGAGCCACGTAGCGTGCCAGAAGGCCAAGAGGGTACACAAGGTCAGGACGAGTGCAGGTCATCAGGTACATGAGGCAGCCCACTAGCTCTGGGTACGGACCACTCGGCTCTACGAACTCGTCCGAAGGTGGAGCTGAGAGCGAGTGACCTGTAGCCAGGGGAGTGGACTATGGCGAGGACCAAGTGAAGCCGAAGCGCTGAAGGACCTGCTGCACCATGTGTGACTGAGTCAGGGTAATGGTGGGCCGTGCTCTGTCCCGGGTGATTTGCAGACCAAGGTAGCTGCGCAGCTCACCCAAGTCTGTGCACGTGTGTCTCTTCTGCAGCTCCGACTTCACAAGGGCGAGAGCCTCAGTGTCAGCAGTGGCAAAGACCAAGTCGTCGATGTACACGAGAATGTAGAACGGTGGCAACGAAGTGTCGGTGCGCAGAAACAACGACAGGTCAGCAGTCGAAGGTGCAAACCCAAGAGCCGCAACTGTCATCCTCAGTGTGTCGTGCCACTCACGAGGCGCCTGACGGAGACCGTAGACCGGCCGACGGAGGCTCTACTGGGTACCAAGAGGGAACGACCCAGTGAAGCCAGGTGGGCGGCGCAGCCAGATCTCCTCGTGCAGACTGCCCTGTAAGAACGCTGTGTTGAAGTCCAGAGAGTGAAGCTCGTAGTCACGCTGAGCGGCAACGTGCAGCAGCACCCGAAGAGTGGTCATCTTCGGGGTGGGGGAGAAGGTCTGGAAGAAGTCAACTCCCTGTCACTGACTGAAGCCTCGTGCAACGTAACGAGCCTTGAAGACAGGCGGAGAACCCGGCGGCCGCTTCACCCTGAGAATCCACATGCCATCGACTACGTTCGCTCTAGGAGGGGGAACTGCGTCGACGTAAGTGTGTGTGGATTTCCAGGATGCCATCTTTGCGTCTATGGCTGTCTGCCACTGAGTGGAGTACTCACCCGCGATTGCCTCAGCGTAAGAGCACGGGGTCGGGATGTCTGGAGCATCCGGGTCTCCCTCAGGGGCAAGCAGCATGGCCACGAGATGAGGCGCAGCGGCTGCAAGACACTCAAGGTCCTCCTGCCTGTCCTCAAGGACGTCCGTGCCAAGAGCACACTCACCCCCGACGGACGGAGGACAGACAGACTCAGACTCAGCAACAAGACTAGCAGCGAAGTCTAGACGACAGGCAGCAGCAAAGTCAACAAGCTCAGAGACTAAGGCAGACGCAGTAGCAGACTCAAACGACGGGTCAGTGACAACTGTGGCTAGCAGACGCATGACAGTAGGGTGAGCAGCACGAACCAGGTCAGACTCAGGGTCCTTAACGTCAGGCAGAGAAGATGCAGGAGCAGACGGCAGGGGAACACGCTGTGGAATAGAGGAAGGACGAAGTGCCATAGCGTACGTGCCAGGGACAGGAGGTGGACGCTCACAAGGAACACGACTACCAGTGCGACGTGCGCGAACAGGCGAGGCAGGACGAGACGCAGGCTCACGGCGCCGTGTAAGCGAGTCTGTCTGCTCATTGTAAGGAGAAGGAGCGGGCAGTGGTGCGCCGGGCTGTAAGGGGAGGCCAGTAGAAGACGGGAGCCTAAGAACCTAGCGAAGCACAGAGTCAGGCGGTGGCAAAGACGACGGTGACGGCGGAGCGAAAAACACTCGCGGGGGTGCAGTGCCACCTGTACTAGTAGCTCCAGCGCCTCCAGCAGCTCCAGAACCTCCAGCCCCAAGGCCTCCAGCAGCAGCACCTCCAGCTCCAGTGACTCCTGTTATAGTCTGCAGTCCACTTAGGGGTCGCGGATGCCCATGAAACCGCCTAAGCAGAATCTGACGTCTTCAAACCGCCTCTGTTCAAAACGCCGTCACGATCAGCTCCGAGAACATACGAGGCTGAAACTTGGACAGCGGTTAGGCTTAGATGTCTGCTTTCCAACGGTATATTACTTGCTATTATCAGAGGTGTGTGCACTACGCAGTGAACGAAAACGTAAGCTCGGCTGAAAAAACGTGTATTCTCATTGATGCAAGGAAGAGGTGAGTACAACATTGCCTAGGGGACTCATAAGGGGTTGGGTCATCCTGGGAACTCAGAGAAGGTTGAGTCCTAGGGGAGAAAGGCTAGAGAAGAATGGGAAACGTCCTAGCTAGGTCAGCAAAGCCAACCACACTTGGATGTTCAGAGCTGTACTCAAGGCTACCAATAGTGAGTCAAGCCAACATGAGTCAGCTTGTCTTCCCACTTGCACCCTCTTGCAAGTTGCTTCCAGGAAGACCACACTTCTCAAAAGGAGGGTTATAGAGTCCCACTTGACCACCTGTACTTCTTGTCTCATTCTCTGTCCCTGCACCATTGGCATGACAACAATGAAAGGGTGGCAAGGGAAATGCTGCCAACAGTGCACCATGACTACGGAACAGTGAATTTCGGCAGCTGTCACGCAATGCTCAGATGTTGGATCGTTCTGAAACTTGGTGACCACTTGCACAGCGGGGCAAAGGACTGCCAGACCGAATTTCAGACCAATCAGATCTCGGTAGACGAGTCAGCAGCCGAAATGGTGAACTCGGGTGTTACCAAAAAGGAGTAACACACACTTCCGGGATGCCATAAGTCTTGAAACATAAAATGTTGTCATGCCTTGGTAACTGCTTGAAAAACTCTGAAACTTTGAGGGTTTGAAGAAAACGTGTTGAACAACCTCCCCACAAAATTCCAGAAGCTGAGCAGGCTTGTAGGCCGAATGGGAGTGCGATGACCGTGCCACTGTAATGTGTTGGCACAACAAACTCCCCCTCATCGTGCTCTCATTCATCCCTTAGCTGCTCCCTGAAGCTGCCTCCCTTAGTTGAAGGACATGCCACACAAGGTGGCGCAGGTCCAATGCTGATGCTCTGCAAGCCGCTTCGTCAAAAAATCTGCAGGTTGCTTGGTAGTGTTGATGTAGTGCAAGGAGACCGTGCCCTTCTTCACCTCCTTCCTCACCCAATGCCATTTGATATGCATGTGCTTGTTCAGCCCATGGAGCACAGCATTGCGAGCCATTGCAATTGCTCCTTGGCTGTCACAAAACACAGGTGTAGGACCCTCTTGCTCCTGCCCCAACTCCTCAAGCAACCTCCTCATCCAAACCACCTCCTTCACCCCATGAAACAACGCCATGTACTCGCTCTCCGTTGATGAGTGAGCTATCTCCCCTTGCTTCTTAGACTTCCAGCTCACTGGACTCCCTCCAACACAGCATACATAGCCACCGTGGGATGTTGCATCACTGATGTCACTTGCCCAGGTAGCATCGGTGAAGCACGAGAGGTACAAGTGTCCACGCCTTGCAGGTGCACCGGTCTTCGTGCTCACCTCCTCCACTCCCTTTTGCTTCAGCTGCCCATGCACTGAATATTGCAGCCCCACCCTTGAGGTTGCCATGCAGTACCTCACCAGCCTCTCTGCTGCATCAAGGTGCTCTTGAAGGGGCCTAGACACCACACGAGCCAGCTGCGAAACCGCGAATGAAATATCGGGGCGAGTGTTGACCGAAGCATACATCAAGCTCCCCACCATTGACTGGAACCGACGCTGCAACTCGGGCTCCAACACCTCACCCTCCTCTTCATCAAGGTGTAGCTGAAATCCTGAGGGTAGTGGAGTCTTTACACTCCTCCCTTCCTCCAGCCCATACCTCTCCCCCATGGCTGCAAGGTACTTGTGTTGGTGAAGCCTCAACCATCCCTTCACCTCTTCCCGCTCCACGTGAAGACCAAGGTAATACCCCACTGGTCCAAGGGCCTTGCATTGAAAGGTCTCCTTCAGCTTCCCTTGCACCTCCTTGATCCTCTCCAGGGATGGAGAGAAGAGGAGAATGTCATCGACGTAGACAAGGAGAAACACTTTCTCCTCATCCCCCTCGGTTATGAAGAGACTCTCGTCGCACCCGCTAACTTTGAAGCCAAGAGCCTCCAACGCCTCCACCATCCTTGCATACCAGCACCTTGGAGCTTGTTTGAGGCCATAGATGGCCTTGTTGAGCCTGCAAACACGTCCGCTCCCATCGTCGTACCCCTCTGGCTGCTTCATGTAAATCTCCTCATCTACCACGCCATAGAGGAAAGCCGTCTTCACATCCATTTGCTCCACCTTCCAACCACAAACGGCAGCTGCTGCCAGCAACACCCGGAGCGTAGGAGCCTTGGCAACAGGAGCAAACACCTCCTTAAAGTCAACCCCCTCCCTCTGCTGGAAACCCTTGATCACAAGTCTTGTTTTGCGCCTCTCCAACTTCCCCTCCGCATCGGTCTTCACACGTAATATCCACGTGCAATCCAATGCCTTTCTTCCCGGGGGCAGATTGGTGAGGGTCCACGTTCCATTCTCCATGAGGCTCTTAAACTCATCCTCCCTTGAAGCCAACCAAGCCTCTCGATCATCTCCAGCAAGTGCTTCCTCCATCGAAGCCGGTTCATGAGGTAAGTTGACACCGAAGCAACAAATCTGCTCCATCTCTCCCTCGGCTCCCTTCTCCTCATCATCTTCCTCCTCCTGGACCAGCAATGCCTTGGGACCCCCAAGCCTTTCATACTTGAGGAAATCCCTTGGGTGAGCAGCTCTCTTGGGCCTCTCCTTGGCTGCACTCTCCTTAGCTCCACCACGGACAGCACCACGCTTCCCTTGGGTTGTCCGCCTTGGTGGAAGAGTAGGGGATGGTGTAGGCTGCTGCACCTCCTCCTCGGCATCACCTCTCTCAGCTACAGGGGCCTTCTCTTGCTGCAACACTCCCTCCACCTCTGCTGCCTCCCCTTCAGCACCTCCCAAGTCATGTGACACCTCCGTTACCTCTGAAGACGAAGACAACTCGATGGGAATGAAGAGTGGGTCATTCGTTCCCACCTCTATTCCGAGCGGAATGGTGACCTTGCTCCTCCCTCGCTCCAACCACTCCTTGAACATGAGCCCCTCCATGAACTTGGAATCTCTGGTGGTGAAGATGGTGTTGGCTATTGGGTCCCACATGAGCCACCCCTTGCTCCCTTGTGCAAGTCCCAAATGAACAGCCCACACCGCCGCCGCTTGAAGCTTGTCACGCTTTTCCTTAGGGACGTGCACAAGTCCCATGCACCCAAAGACTCGAAGCATATCCACCAGAGGCTTCTTGCCCCTCCATTTCTCCATAGGGACCCAATGCTGCCCTCCCACATGAGTCAATACTCGGTTCTTGATGACGGTGGCATGGCGAATAGCGAGGGGCCAGAACCGTAAGGGTAGACCCGAGTCTACCAAAATCGTTCTCCCGCCCTCCAAGATGGTCCGGTTCGCTCTCTCTGCCACGCCATTGGATTGAGGGGTGTAGGCCGTGGTGAGCTGCTGCTTGATGCCATGCCGCTTCAGCCAGCTCCGGAACTCCGCTCCCAAGAACTCCCCACCACGGTCACTACGTATCGCCTTCACCCGCTTGCCGCTCTCTCGCTCCACCATGGGCAGCCACTCTTCAATGATGACCCTTGCAGCATCACTCTTCTTTGCAAGTGGAAAGGACCAGGTGAGCCTTGTGTTGTCATCCACCATGGTCATAGAATACAGGGCCCCACCATCTCCCTTCACCTTCATGGGTCCCACGAGATCCACATGCACGAGCTCCACCGGGTCACTCGACTTCCCCTCCACCGAATGGAAGGGAAACCGTGAAAACTTGCTGGTCAAGCAAGTCTCACAAGATCCCACCTCCTTGGGCTCCCCATTTATCCTCAGCCCCTTGACTCTTTCCTCCTTAAACAGCTGCTGCAACTGAGGTAGCGCCACGTGGCCAAAGCGACGGTGTGCGGTGAGCCAATCCGTCTCACCCGTGCTAGGAGTTACACTTGGAAGCGCAGCCCCTCCATGCCCAAGGAGCCCACCATCACTGTCATCACCACCCCCTCCATTGTCCACGTGGTTAACACGCCCTCCTCTCACATCTCCAGCAGCCAAGCGCGCAGCCGCCTCCTTCCATGGCAGCACCGGTATCTCCCACATGGACCGGTGCATGTCCTTGCCGCCTCGGAGGTCCCACAATACGCGCCCATCCAGAGTTGCCTTGAAAACCTTTGTGCCCAACATCTCCATCTTCATCCCTGCCTCACTTAGGGCCTTGGTAGAGAGGAGGTTGGCACACAATCCAGGAACAAGGAGAACACGCTTCAGCCCCACAAGCCTCCCATCCGCACCCATGAACATGGCTCTCCCCTCGCCACGCACGGGTACAACTTGGCCGGTGGCTGAAACGACGGTGGCTGCCTTTGATGGCCTAACTTCATCCAGTAGATCCTCTCGGTTGGTCATGGTCATGAAGGCTCCCGTATCGATGACCCAATGGGAGGAGCGGTGAAGAGCAATCTTGCTGGCCGGCACAACCATGTCCTCGGGGCACGCCTCCCCTACATGGTAGAACATGCCGCCGTATCCGCCAGCACCTCCTTCGCCCTCCTCACTGCCCATGCCTTCTCCCATAGCTCCATGAACACCCTTGGAGCCCTCAATTGATGGCTGACCAGGCCTCCAACCATCAGGTAGCTTGCGGCACTTGAACCATGGGTGACCTTCCACATGGCAATACCAACACTTGCCGCCACACCGCTTGCCTCCCTTGTTGCCACGCTTCCCTCCCGAATGCTGCTCCCCTCCAGAGCCTTCCTTGGCCTTCCCTTTCTTGCTGCCACGCCCCTTGAAGCCCTTCATGCCATAGGCAGAGCCTCCACCTTCACCGGCAGCGGCGGTCAGCTCCTTCCTCCGAAACTCCTCTTGAAGAACTTGTGCGCGAATCCACTCAAGGGACCACGAGTCCTTCATCCCATTAAGGTTGACCACCAAGGGCCCCCACGACTCCGGCAGCAGGGAGAGAGCCTTGTAGCACTTGATTTTCTCAGGGTAGTCCACACCAGCAGCTGAGAGCTTCACATAGAGGTCCCGGAGTTGATCGAACGCTCCTTGTACGGCATCACCCTCGTTGACCTTCACCGCATGGAGTTGTCGCTCGAGCACCACCACCATTGCTTCGCTGCTGGGGGCATGGACATCCTTCAATATCCTCCATGCCTTAGGACCACACTCAGCTTCCTTGATGAGATGCTTGATGTGGTGCAGCTGGTTGGATGAGAGGCATTGGGAGAGAAGGAAGAATCCATCCTTGGACCGGCGATCCCATTCTTTGGTCGCTCCTTCGCTCGTAGGCCTCTTGAATTCTCCATCCATCACTTCAAGCAGCCCATAATGGTTGAAGAGGAGCTCCATCCTGAAGCTCCATGATGCCCAATCATCCCCAGAGAACTTCTCCAGGTTGAATGCCTTCACATCATCCTTAGCTGATGTTGAACCTGAAGCCATTGGCGCAGATCCGCCTGCAACGCCTCTTCCCGCTTCCCCAGCGCCTCTCACGCCACCACTGCCACTGGGACCAGCTGGAGCAGAACCTTCAGCCTCCATTTTCACCCACGAACAGAGTAGAACAGCTCTGATACCACTTGTTATAGTCTGCAGTCCACTTAGGGGTCGCGGATGCCCATGAAACCGCCTAAGCAGAATCTGACGTCTTCAAACCGCCTCTGTTCAAAACGTCGTCACGATCAGCTCCGAGAACATACGAGGCTGAAACTTGGACAGCGGTTAGGCTTAGATGTCTGCTTTCCAACGGTATATTACTTGCTATTATCAGAGGTGTGTGCACTACGCAGTGAACGAAAACGTAAGCTCGGCTGAAAAAACGTGTATTCTCATTGATGCAAGGAAGAGGTGAGTACAACATTGCCTAGGGGACTCATAAGGGGTTGGGTCATCCTGGGAACTCAGAGAAGGTTGAGTCCTAGGGGAGAAAGGCTAGAGAAGAATGGGAAACGTCCTAGCTAGGTCAGCAAAGCCAACCACACTTGGATGTTCAGAGCTGTACTCAAGGCTACCAATAGTGAGTCAAGCCAACATGAGTCAGCTTGTCTTCCCACTTGCACCCTCTTGCAAGTTGCTTCCAGGAAGACCACACTTCTCAAAAGGAGGGTTATAGAGTCCCACTTGACCACCTGTACTTCTTGTCTCATTCTCTGTCCCTGCACCATTGGCATGACAACAATGAAAGGGTGGCAAGGGAAATGCTGCCAACAGTGCACCATGACTACGGAACAGTGAATTTCGGCAGCTGTCACGCAATGCTCAGATGTTGGATCGTTCTGAAACTTGGTGACCACTTGCACAGCAGGGCAAAGGACTGCCAGACCGAATTTCAGACCAATCAGATCTCGGTAGACGAGTCAGCAGCCGAAATGGTGAACTCGGGTGTTACCAAAAAGGAGTAACACACACTTCCGGGATGCCATAAGTCTTGAAACATAAAATGTTGTCATGCCTTGGTAACTGCTTGAAAAACTCTGAAACTTTGAGGGTTTGAAGAAAACGTGTTGAACAACCTCCCCACAAAATTCCAGAAGCTGAGCAGGCTTGTAGGCCGAATGGGAGTGCGATGACCGTGCCACTGTAATGTGTTGGCACAACAACTCCAGCAGCAGCACCTCCAGCTCCAGCGCCTCCAACAGCTCCAGAACCTCTAGCTCCAGCGCCTCCAGCAGCAGCACCTCCAGCTCCAGCTCCTCCAGCAGCTCCAGATGTCAAAGTTATATTTGAGATTTATCCTGCTTGCTGTAGTTACTGTAGTTATTATTCTTTGCTGTTGGTGGTGCACCCCTTGTTTTTGTATCTCGACTATATCTTGTATGCTTTGCTTTAGAGAAGCTAACTTGTTTGGTCAATTTCTCTCGACACTCCCTTGGCCTTGACCTCGACACTTGCTTGGCCTAGGCTAGTAAGCCTAGGCCCTCCCTAAACCCGGTTCCTAAGTTAAGACCGTATCGTAACATGGTATAGAGCTAGGTCCAATTGGGACCGTTTTCAAATGGGCCCACCATTAGCGCTCGCAATGGCGCGCCCCTTAGTGCGCCTCGTGAGCACTTTCCCGTTTTCCGCCCGTCGCCCGCGCACTACCAGCAATGCACACCACCGCGCACGCAAGGAACGCACCAGGAACGCCAGGATCGGACCCACCAGCAAGCACGCCGACGGACCCACCAGCAAACCCGCCGACGGACCCGCCGTCAGTTCCGCCAACGAGAGCGCCAGCAAGCCCGCCGACGGACCCGCCAGCAAACCCGCCGACGGACCCGCCAACGAGAGCGCCAGCAAGCCCACCGACGGACCCGCCAGCGCGGTGTGAGCACGCCCGCCGACGAACCCGCCAGCGGGCCCGCGAGCGAGCCCGCCAATGGACCCGCCGCCGTCACGCTGCCTCGTCGCGGCTCCGTGGCGCAGAAACAGCGACGGGCGCAGTGGGGGCGAAGAGGAAAGGGGGAAGGGAGTGGCGGCCGCCAGCGCCAGCATCCGCCAGTCACACCACTTCCCCGCCCGCCCTCCCGTCGACTTCGCAACTGCTGTGAAGGGAGTGGCGGAAGTGGCGGGGGCGTTGGGAGTGGCGGGAATGGCGGGCGTGGCGGGAGTGGCGGGCATGGCGAGCGTGGCGGGAGTGGCGGGAGAAGCTGCTGCTCCACCACTGCATGCCACAGATCGTCCACGACCCGCAAGCCCGCCAGTAAACGAACCAGCAGACCCGCGCCAGCACCAGGAACCAACACCAGGCACCAGCACCAGCGCCAGGAACCAGTACCAGCACCAGCACCAGGAACTAGCACCAGCACCAGCTGCCAGCACCAGGAACCAGCACCAGCGCCAGCCGCCAGCACCAGGAACCAGCACCAGCGCCAGCCGCCAGCACCAGGAACCAGCACCAGCGCCAACCGCCAGCAGCAGCACCCCCAGAGCCGACACCTCCAACTCCAGGAGCAGTACCAGTCCCGGCAGCTCCAGTACCTCCAGTACGAGCACCTCTAGGATCAGAGACACCAACACTCCCAGCGCCTCCACGACAAGCAGCTCCAGTAGCACGACTCCTCAGGCGGGTACGCGACGCAAGCCACTCTCGTGCCTGCTGTGGTGAGACATGGTCGCGTCGTGAAACGAGACCCAGAGGAACGCCAGCAGACTCAGCACCCCCCGACCCGGCACCCTCCGGCTCAGCATTCCCAGACTCCGCAGCCGCAGGCTCAGCATCCCCAGGCTCCGCACTCCCCAGCACCTCATACGCGGGCTCAGCACCCCCAGACGCAGCACCCCTAGCAGCCCCTCCCGCAGCAGCACCTGAGTCGCTAGTGACCTCTACAGGCTCAGCCACGGGGGGCGGGTCTACCTGAGACACACCTGAAGGAGCAGGACCCTGAGGGGGGAGAGGGTCTACCGGAGGGGGACCTGGAGCGAGGAAAAGCGGCGGGGGAAGGAGAGGGGCAGTGCGGTAGGGGAAGAGACGGTAGAAAGGAACCGACTAGTCAAAGGTGACGTCATGAGAGGGCAGGACACGGCGTGAGGTGGGGTGGTAGAATTGCCAGCCATGCGCGTCAAGGACAAAACCAAGGAAGACACATGAAATGGTGCGGGAGGAGAGCTTGTCCGCGGACGTATCGCGGACAAGGGCACGAGCACCGCAAACCCAGAAGCGCGACGCATCGCCAACCTCCCCCGTCCAACGCAGTGTGGGCGAGGTTTCCGGCAAGGAGACACGGGGCCAGAGGTTGGGCTGCTGCGCGGCGTACCGGACCGCAAACGGCCACAGAAGATGGGGAGTCGCCGCATGGATCAAGGAGGTACGAGCGACCTCCATGACTAAGCCAATGCGGCGCTCAGCAACCCTATTTTGCTGCGGTGAGCCCGGAAGCGTGAACGAGTGCTCGATGCCCTCCCCCCGACAGAAGGCCCGCAAGAGGTCGGAGGTGAACTCACCACCTCTGTCAGAGTGCAGACGCAGGATTGGATGGTCCTGGCGGAACCTCCGGCGGAGCTGAAGACGAACTGCTCGGAGCCAAGGGATCAGGACAGCAGGGACCTCACCCTTGGTGCACAAGGGGAAGACCGTGGTGTAACGCGAGTAGTCGTCGACAACCAGCAGAAAGTACCGCTCACCGCCCTATCCACGAACGCGGGCTGGGCCCCACACGTCCAGGTGGAGGGTCTGCAGAGGAGCTTCAGTCGGGGGAAATGAGAAGGAGTGAGGAGTGGCGCGCTGTCGCCCCTCGACACAAGGAAGGCAGGGCGGCACAGGGGAGGCAGGGAGGGGAGGGAGAGACCTGGGAAGACCAGACACAAGGAGACGTCGGTGCATGCCACGGAGACGTGGCAAGGAGGGGTGACCCAGGCGGTGGTGCTAGAGAAGAGTCTGGTGCGACAGGGAGCGACACTAACAAGGGGAGGCTACCAGACTTGACGCAGACACCTGACCGACAACAGCTACCTGAGGAGACACAGTCGTCAGTGTGTAAAGATGATAAGAAACAAGGAATGAATGAACTATGAATGAATTGGGTACAAGTACTAACCCTAATTGGGTTGTACCCCTTATGGGCTACCCCACTATAGCCTACACAATATGCATGAGCTATAATATTCTGACACACCCCCATAGGCAAAGTGGGGGAGAACAAGGGGTCACAAGACCAGTCAAGCAAAGTAAAGCAAAGCAAGCTCAGGGTGGATCACAAAGTCACCACACATTCCGAGCACAAGTTCAAGGCCACAAGGCCAGTTCACATGCAGGAGTACATATATATATAAAGGCTAGACAAACAAGAGCAGGTATATATATATGTAACAGCACAAGCAAGGTCAAGAGGTGAGCAAGTGAGGCAAGGTAGGCACAAGGCCCAGCTGAGTACAGAAGCGCTGATGGTCACAAGGCGCAAGCGCCTTGGTGAAGATATCAGCAGTGTTGGCCTCAGAGGCCACGTACGCAAGACGCAGCTGACCACGCTGCTGCAGCTCACGAGCAAGAAAGTAGCGGAGAGCAATGTGCTTCGTTCTGTGCTCCAGTCGCTGCTCCCGACACAAGGCCAGCATGGCCTTGTTGTCTACGTACAGCACTGGAGGAGAACGAGGCAGCTCTCCGAGGTCAGTCAGCAGGTAGGTGAGCCAGCGAAGCTCCTGTGCAGCCATGGCTCCTGCGTAGATCTCAGCCTCACAACTGGAGCCGAGAACAGAAGACGAGCGGGTAGCCCGCCACGAAACAGAGCCGGAACCAAGGCTGAAGGTGTAACCCTGTGACGACCGCTGCGTAGCCTGGTCGTCAGCCCAAGAAGCGTCTGCGTGCCCAGTAAGGACCACTGGACTCTGCCCTCCAAGCACAAGCCCCATGCCTGACGTACTGCACAAGTAGCGCAACACCCTCTTCGCTGCAGCCATGTGCTCCGGTCTGTGTCTCCCAGGAGCAACATAGCGTGCAAGAATGCTAAGAGGGTATGCAAGGTCAGGTCGTGTGCAGGTCATCAGGTACATGAGGCAGCCAACAAGCTCTGGGTACGGGCCACTCGACTCTACGGACTCATCCGAAGGCAGAGCTGAGAGCGAGTGGCGAGTAGGCAGAGGAGTGGCCTGAGGCGAGGAGTACGTGAAGCCGAAGCGCTGAAGGACCTGCTGCACCATGTGTGACTGAGTCAGGGTAATGGTGCGGCGTGCTCTGTCCCGAGTGATCTGCAAGCCAAGGTAGCTGCGCAGTTCACCCAGGTCAGTGCACGTGTGTCTCTTCTGCAGCTCGGACTTCACGTGGGCTAGTCCAGCAGTGTCAGCTGTGGCAAAGACCAAGTCGTCGACGTACACGAGGATGTAGAACGGCGGCAAAGAAGTGTCGGTGCGCAGAAACAGCGACGGGTCGGCAGTAGAGGGAGCAAACCCAAGAGCCGCAAGTGTAGTCCTCAGTGTGTCGTGCCACTCACGCGGTGCCTGGCGGAGACCGTAGACTGGCCGCCGTAGGCTCCACTGGGTGCCAGGAGGAAAAGACCCAGTGAAGCCAGGTGGGCGACGCAGCCAGATCTCCTCGTGCAGGCTGCCCTGCAAGAAAGCAGTGCTGAAGTCAAGAGAGTGTAGCTCGTAGTCACGGTGAGCAGCTACGTGCAGCAGTACCCGAAGAGTGGTCATCTTCGGGGTGGGAGAGAAGGTCTGAAAGTAGTCAACTCCCTGCCGCTGACTGAAGCCACGAGCCACGTAACGCGCCTTGAAGACAGGCGGAGAACCCGGCGGTCGCTTCACCCTGAATTTCCACATGCCACTGACGATGTTCGCCCCAGGAGGGGGAACAGCGTCAACGTAGGTGCCTGTGGACTTCCAGGAAGCCATCTCTGCGTCCATAGCTGCCTGCCACTGAGAGGAGTAGGGACCCTCTATCGCCTCCGCGTAAGAGCGCGGAGTCGGGATGTCAAGTGCATCCGGGTCTCCCTCAGGGGTAAGCAGTACGGACACGAGATGAGGTGAAGCAGCGGCCAAGCACTGGAACTCCTCCTGCCTGTCCTCAAGGACGTCCGTGCCAAGGGCACACTCACCCCCGACGGACGGAGGACAGACAGACTCAGACTCAGCAACAAGACTGGCGACGTAGTCTAGGCGACAGCGAGCAGCAAAGTCGACGAGCTCAGCAACTAGGGCAGACGCAGCAGTGGACTCAACGGAAGGGTCAGTGACAACAGTAGCAAGGAGACGCGTGACAGTAGGACTGGCAGCACGAAGAGAGTCCGACTCCGGGTCGGCAAGAGCAGGAAGAGAAGACTCAGGAGGAGAAGGCAAAGGGGCACGCAGAGGAGCAGTGGACGGACGCAGAGACATCCGGTGCGTGCCAGGGACAGGAGGAGGACGCTGACGCGAACCGCGACCACTAGTGCGAGCAGCACGGACAGGCGACGCAGGGCGAGACGCAGGCTCACGACGCTCAGCAAGACCTCCAGTAGGACCAGTGTAGGGAGACGGAGCAGGCAGTGGGGAGGCCGGCTGTAACTGTAACTGCGACGGGACAGGCTGTGGACACTCTAAGGGAGGAGGAGGACCAGTAGAAGGCGGGAGACCAAGAACCTGCTGAAGGAGCGGAACGAAGTACGGCCGAGGCCGCGCGGCGACTCCAGACACAGGAGGGACAGCACCAGCACCCCCAGTGGCAGCACCAGCACCAGTAGCAGCTCCAGCTCCAGAACCCCCAGCAGCACCAGTAGTACCCCCAGCAGGACCGCCTCCAGGACCGACAGCAGTAGCCTCCGCGCCAACACCCGGAGCAACTCCAGCTCCAGAAGTACCCGTAGGTCCAGCAGCTCCAGTACTCCCAGTACGAGCACCTCCGGGACTCGTGGCACCAGCTCTCTCAGCAGCAACAGAACCTCCAGTACCCGCAGCACCTCCAGCTCCAGCAGCTCGCCTCCAGCGCCGGGCAAACCACTCACGCAGCTCCTGGGGAGAGAGTGGCTCCCGGCGAGGAGGAGCACCCGGAGAACCGCCAGGCACAGCACCACCAGGCGTAGCACCCCCAGGCTCAGCACCTCCAGGCGTAGTACCCCCAGGCTCAGCACCCCCAGACGCAGCACCCCCAAGCTCAGCACCTCCAGGCGTAGCACCCCCAGGCTCAGCACTCCCAGACGCAGTACCCCCAG